TTGCAGTTGCGATGCTCAGTGCTTATATTATGTATAAAATATACCTGAACAATTGACAATGCATTGTAATGTAATCCCTTTGTTAATGTCACCCGTCTTGTTATGTTGGCGTTACCCAGTTTTCCTTCGCATATAGCCCTGTTTTAAGAACAAAGAAACTCTCACACATCACTTAAAGTTAAAGTTTAACGTCTTTTAAACATTCTGATACACAGTATGACAATTAATTACCTCAACTGTTCACTTTTTGGTCTTTGACATTGACATGACAAAACTGTTGATCATGGTGCATTATGTATGGACCCGGACATATTATACTCTGAACATTAGCTTAGATAATTAATGCTGTTATTGTTTTTGACTCGATTCTGATGAATCATGCAAGATAAACGAAATGAAAAACAGATTGAAATTTGAAAACTATTTTATAGATATAATGGATTAACAAACTTCATAATCATATGTAATAAAAGGAAACCATAACAAAAATGAAATCACATTTACATCAGCAATCAAATTGTAACATAAATATTTTTATTCCATAGTGGTGAAAAAGTCGAAAATAAGCTTGCAGCTTTCAGTGTCAATATTTTGGTCCCAGTCTGGTCTGGTTACCCATACCCGTGTAGTTTTGGTATTCTTGTTTGTTCTTTTCAACAATAATCATTTATCATCATGATTGATAGAATTGTCCCCTGAATCACTATGTGGGTATTTAGCTTCCTGTCCAAATTTCTGATAAAGTAGTTTTACGAGAACAGTTAAACTTGAGAAAATAAAGAAAGGAGTTCCTATCGCAAAAACTGTTTTGTAGTCTTCCAAGAAAGAAAGCCTATGAAGATTCAAAGCAAAGATTGGTCCCAGAACAGCACCTGCATTATACCCCATGTTCCATACATTCATAGCAGTTGACATGGCCACATCCGTCTCAGCACTTCTACTCAGTATCTGAGCAGTATATGATAGAGAGGCAAACTGAATTGCGCTACTGCACACTAGAATTGCAGCAAAAGCAACTGCAGATACAGTGATGTCTGCTACATTAGGGACTGAGATAAGTGGTCCAAGAAACAGTAGCAGAAAGCCCACACCGGCCAGGCCACAAATTAGGTATAAATATTGTAGGGCACGAAATCGCACTCCAATGGGCCCTGTAACGAATGTAGAGATTGTATAGATTGATGATCCTATTCCTATCACTTTCCCGCCCCAATCAATGGTCTTATTGTATTCTTCTATGTAGAACTGTACCAGAATAGACTCCACAAACACAATGCACGCCCCAATACTCAGCATGGGAACCCATCCATAGACAAGAGTGTCCAAAGTGAAGTGACGCTGATACTGCTCTGCCAAAGTTTCCTCTTTCTTGCACTTGCTCGCTGAATCCTTTATCAATGGGACAAACTCCTCATCTTTCTGAGGATAAATTAAGGCAAACAGGACTGAGAGTAGAAACCATGAGACCCCTGCTATGCCCATTGTCACGGGAAAACCAAAATGAGTAGACAGCAATGTCCCAATGTAGCAACCTATGGCCTTGCCCATATTAGATAACACTTCCCATGCCGCGGAGGATTTTGCGAGATCCCTGTCCAAAATTATAGTCCAACCAACACCAATCTTGATGCTATTCAAAGCGTCAGCTGCCCCAGTCAATGAACGACCAATAAGGCCGATGTAGAAGTATCCCAATCTACCAGCAAGTGGAGCATATGTGAATGAAGAAAATCCCAGCATTCCAATTATCCCGACAGTAAGAATATATATGCTGGACTTCCATCCACTTATAAGAGGGTAAATCATTGTGGCTGGTATGGTGGCTAAAGGATGGGCGGCCACCAGGAATGCAACTTCAGTGCAGGTCATGTTCATTTCCACCGAGCCAGGGACGAGGATAGCTGGGGGTATCATTCTGAGGAATCCATTTGATATAGTCAGAGGTATAAATAGAGTCAGGATAGCTCTCTTGCGGAGTGGTCTGACTTCCACCTCCTTCATCTGGATAGGCATAATATTGGTAATTTCTTATTGTGTTAAGTATTTTTCGTGAGGAAACCTAGCAGAATGGAGTTGAGTATGCAGAGTGGAGTTGAGTATACGGAGTGGAGTTGAGTATGCAGAGTGGATTTGAGTATGCAGAGTGGAGTTGAGTATGCATAATGGAGTTGAGTATGCAGAGTGGAGTTGAGTATGCAGAGTGGCGTTGAGTATGCAGAGTGGAGTTGAGTATGCAGAGTGGAGTTGAGTATGCAGAGTGGAGTTGAGTATGCATAGTGGAGTTGAGTAAGCAGAGTGGAGTTGAGTATGCAGAGTGGAGTTGAGTATGCAGAGTGGAGTTGAGTAAGCAGAGTGGAGTTGAGTATGCAGAGTGGAGTTGAGTATGCAGAGTGGAGTTGAGTATACGGAGTGGAGTTGAGTGTGCAGAGTAGAGTTGAGTATGCAGAGTGGATTTGAGTATGCATAGTGGAGTTGAGTAAGCAGAGTGGCGTTGAGTATGCAGAGTGGAGTTGAGTATGCAGAGTTGAGTTGAGTATGCAGAGTGGAGTTGAGTATGCAGAGTGGAGTTGAGTATGCAGAGTGGAGTTGAGCATGCAGAGTGGAGTTGAGTAAGCAGAGTGGAGTTGAGTATGCAGAGTGGAGTTGAGTATGTAGATTGGAGTTGAGTATGCAGAGTGGAGTTGAGTATTAATACTTTCAACACTACTATATAACAAATAATTTGAGATTATGTGACTGATTAAATGCTGAAGATAAAAGAAATATATTCATTTTGCTAAGATTATTTTGCGTTTCATTGCTCAACAGCTGTTCGAAGGATCAAATTTAAGAAGAAGGAGTTGAGTATGCACTTCGTATACACAATTTTTGACAACACAAGGTCCTTAGTATTCTGCATCGAGATCATCTAGGTATGCAATTTGTCTCGATAGTCCTATAGTCCTACAGGGCAAAATGTCTAAATAATATGAGAACGATACCGTAATGATTATTAAAACGATCTACACGAGCTAGAATAAGCTGATATAAGACCAAATTCAAACAATTTTCCAAGCTATCACTTAACATTTCAGGGTTTTTAACCTCTATCACTTAACATTTCAGGGTTTTTAACCTCTATCGCTTAACATTTCAGGGTTTTTAACCTCTATCGCCTAAGTGACAGGGGTGTTTCTGGATTTTACTGAAACCACAAAATGGAATATAACAATCTGTGAACCTTTACTGAAACCACAAAATGGAATATAACACTCTGTGCACCTTGACAATTTTAACGTATAGAAAGGCACAGTATAATATGTAGGATCGACTGCAACAAGGTTATTATAAAATTATTGAACAATAAACATTAGTAAACGTTATTAGATATGGCGCCCATTATCATGGTAATTACTTTTTTATCCGATTATTAATTATATTTTTATTCATAAATTATGAAGAAAACATTATATCCGTATGTGCCAGGCCCCAGGTCACGTGATATTGACAGTGTCGAAATATACATGCTCCTCCAGCATGGCCAGGAATCCGTGAGATAACCTATGGCAACAACCCTGCAAGAATTGGTTTTGCAAATTATTTGTTTCAAATTCATGAGGTTAAGAATAAAAACGAAGAAAGCAGTTATTAACTTTCAAAGGCTAAACTGATCTTAAATTTGGCCTTGCTGTTGAATAAACTATTTCAGCTATGCAGGTAATTTCAGCGTATTAGATTAGACTGACTATGGAATGTTATCAGATTGAAGTAACAGTATGAGTAGTGATAGTTCAATAAGTTAAGATGGCTGTGAAAATAACCTCCTCTTCACCTTACATTACGCGGATAAAAGTAATGTGCAGCGTAAAAGACACATGTAGAAGCTCGAAAGAAGCAGAGGAATGTTCAGTTAAATACCAAAGCGTGATTGTAAATCTTTGAATGTCATACTAAACACTGAGCCATGAACTAAAATAGTGTTCTATAATACAGTTTTAACACGAAACGTTAAATAAATAAATAAATTGTACGAGTTAAATCACATTTGATACTGCACAATATTAATGACATAACGTCAGGTCAGTGAGCCATTATAAGATAAGAAAATTAAACCAACTGATAAAGCTAGAGGGGGATTATTTAAAACATATAAGTGATACGAAAAGTTTGTTTTAGCAGGAGCTTTCAAAATACATGTGTAAATCGTCTTTACTGATATAGTAAAATTTACCAACAAAACACGTCAATCATGCTCTAGAATTACCAACAAACAGCATAAAGTTAAAAAAGAAGAACACAACAAATGCAATGAATAATTTGGAATAATGATAATAATTATGTTATTCCTCATCAGTTAAAAAATAGTACTGAATAGATAAGACCTTATCTTACGGCTACTTTGTTAAAATGATTGCAGCCTTTGAATTATAATTAACTGGAAATCCGCTTAGAAATAGAGATGCAAGCTTTATTCGAGAAAATTTAATTCATTCGTTCAAATCTATTTTATCATCTAGCTCCGTATTGTAGAAAATATGGATTTTATTTGACCATAACGACAAAGTTTTAAAGTTTCCCCACATTAAAATTCTAAGAATGCTACAATAGCCATGCATTTCCTTTTTATGCAACCCTGCTAAAAATTGTCCTCAACAAAGGGTAAATTTTTGGCTAATTTTCAGCGTTAAAAAAATGGCTACTGATAAGTCCCTGACATACTACTTTGGTCAATTTTACTTTATCAGTTGGTTTAATTTTTCTTATCTTATAATGGCTCACCGACCTGACGTTATGTCATTAATATTGTGGGGTATAAAATGTGATTTAACTCTTACGTTTACAACAAACAGCATAAAAACGCTGAAAATGTTGGTTAATCATATGAGCGAGTTAGCTTATAGTTAAGCCCTAATTCATTAATTGGGAGAAGGAAATGGCCGCGGTAAATCGGGGTTTTCCTGTACATCACTGTATATCAATTATACAAGGGATTATCGTAAAAAATAAAAGTCGGCTTAGCATTAAGATACAAATAAAAAATACATTAAGATCACATTATTCTACATACAGTTAAAACAAAACCATGCATACATTCCATTTACGTTATTCTTTGTATTTCTGTAGCAAAAGAGCTGATCAAAATGTTATATAGCAAAGTTTCCCTTTAATTGAGTACTTGCAACTTACATTTACTCTTTTTCATTAGCAACAAAAAATTAATGCATGGACGAAATGGCTTGCCCACTGGTGGGAGTTTTGTAAATTTCATTCCAAAATGAAAGAATATTCAATCATTAGAAACTCAAATTCACCTCACCTTGCCTCCCAACGAGAAGCCATGTTTAAAACTGTATCATATGATCATGATTACAACTTACATTATTAAGGTTCAAGATCTTCATTATTCAAACGGATGAAATTAAAACAGCTTAAATATAACCTCTAGCTGGATCTGCCACAATGACGTATTCAACGACAAATTTCTAGAAGTTTCGTCGAATGTACGGACACTAAATTTAACACTCAACAGCGAGAGCAGGAACATTAACAAGAGGTTTAGAGTTCCTACCAGCCTGAAAATAGCGTTGTGATTCAGCTTGTCCAGACCTAAGATAACGATAGTGTAGTCTTTGTCTGATATAAGTGGAGTGTGTTCTTGATATTGCGAGCTTTATTACATGTAGTCTGTTCCATATCTGAGTTATAAGATACTAATAAAGTCTACTCTTCCAGAATGGGCCGGTCATCTGGTCCCTGAAGTTCACTACCCTCCACCTTCCTTCCCTCTGGCCATAGAACTCTGAAAAGTTCTTTGTTGCCTTTCTTCTTATCTATCCACTGATTACAGGGGAATGTGTACTTATCACCTGATGTGACGTTAGTAACGACCACGTGATCCAAGCACCAGCTAGCACCTAGACCCGAGTTATCGTGTTCTATCCTCATCTTCACTATCTTTCCCAGGTCAGGCCATCTCCAGATCGAATGAAGACATCTCGTTTCTCTCGAACAGGTTTTTACCAGATCCAACCAGAGCTTGTTTCCCACTGTCTCCTGTGTTTCCGTATAGGATGACGAAAATATTCGCATCCGTCCCGGCTGCAAACTTGTCTGCTGTTTTAACATCCACATGATAAGTGGTGAGAGACGGAGTGGCGGCAGAGGATGCTGCTGGAGCTGACCTGATTCTGGCTGGGTGATCAGGGTTAACAGGTTGCGAGGACGTAGCTGCCAACTTCCGGTAACTTTTCCTACCTGGAGTTCCAGGTAGAGATAACCAGTGATTACACACAAACACATGCTCCGTCTCACCACCCTGGTGATCTGTTTACTGTCACCTGGTGCAGGTGACACTGTTTGATGGCGTCCTTCCCGACATCAACACCTTCTCTCGGAGACAGACCCACTCTGAGGTGAGTGATGTCACCTAGATCAGCACACTCGAAGAAGAACAGGTCATTGGTGGATTTGTCGAAGAACCTTCCCGCGTTATTCTTCAATTGAAACTTGTCAGACGAACCAGATTTGCCTTCCAGGGATACCCAAATATTATGGTTAGTTCCAGCATCCTTCTTGTTTGAAACGCTAATAATAATCTCATATCCTTCCTTCACCTCGACTACTTCTTCAGGAAGATTATCACACATCAAGTCTCGAGACAAGTTTTTATCGTCCTTCCTGCTCGACAACCACTTATTGCACGTGAATATAAAGTCCTGGCTTGAACTTGTATCCACCACTGTAACCTTGGCCAGGTGCCAACTAGCTGATATTGTCGAGTCGTCATGCCAGATTCTGACCCGTTTTATGGTACCTAAGGAAAGGAGAGAGAACTCGAACTCATCTGTGTTGTTACGCTCGAATTTGTTGGTGTTGGTGGAGCTGTTCTTGAGTGCCAGAGTTCCGGAGTCCCCTGAATCTCCGTACAGAATGGTGGACACGTTAGCATCCGTCCCACAGGCAAATAGGTCGGAGGTTTGTACCGATATTTTGTACAAGACCTTATCAGTGTTCACATCCTCGCTTTGAACTGGAACGTCGACAGATCCACCTGAAATATTGCAGTGATAATTTAAGGGCGATAGTTTGAGGGCTCACTGTTTATTTGAACTATTTTCTCAATTAAAAATAACTACACAATGGAAAGCTCTTATAGATATACCCTGATTTTTGTGTTGCCAAACTTTTGTTTGGAACCAATATTTCAAGGAGAAAATTTATAAAGAGGAAAATATAGAAAGAGGAAAAAAAAGCGTACTAAATTTTCTATCAATAAAATGATATACCTTATTTCCATAATCCACAACTTTAAAACCTAGGTGAATATAATAATCAATATTATTATTATTAATATTCAATGGTATACTTTATTTATTACCTTTCTCAATCCACTCAGTATTAGCGAAAATGAATTCTTCTCCAGAATCACTGTTCTTCAAAGTGATCTTGTCGAAAAGCCAGTTATTTCCACGGTCAGCGACTTCAGCTCTTATTCTGGTTAAAGCCCCCATGTCGGGCAATTCTATCGGAACGTTCACTGTCATGGCACGCATAAACCGGACTCCATTGTTGCTAGATATTGTAATCTGAAAACACGGTCAGGTCATATTAACACCTGGGCTCCATTTCAATAATGAAGGGTATTGAAGCAATGGTGAAAAATAAAAAGTTGGTGACGTTTATATATAATTTATATAATGTTTTATAATGTTTAACAAAAAGTTGGAACGTTTTAGCGTGGTTAAATATTTGCCGCAATTAAAACTTGTCCAGCAAAGCAAATATACCGGTTCAGATGACCCTTTCTCTCCAAAAACTTTGACGATAACATCGGTATCAGTACCAGCTTTTGCCACATCAGCCGTAGAAACTATCATAACGTGCGGTATCTTACTTCCTGGAATTGTGGAGTTTGTGATGTTCCTTGAAGGATAAAATATGGGATTTGAGAAGGAAAATCTGAGTTCTGTTAGCCACGCTTTTATTAAAGTTTGTAAGGCCACCACATATTATGTGAATATGTCATATTCTGATTACATAAAGCAAATCTATCATTGTATCTATTCGAAAACAATGATCAGAATCGTAGGTAGGTAAGACAATACAAATTCCTAAAACTAACGAATCTATGAATGAATAAAATATACCAAACCCCTAAGTTATTGAATTTATAACTTAGAAAACCTACCAAATTCCTGGACGGAGGAAGGAATGAACTCCACCACTAGTTTCCTGTCTCCTCTATCTTTAGCCAACCAGCGCTGACACGGGAAATGGTACCGGGCCCCAGTGGTCGGTATCGTGACGTTGATGGTCGAGATAAACCACCCTTCGCTCGCCAGGACCCCGTTGTGCCCAATCTGATTGACAATTATTTATCAGATCAGATCAGCAAACTTGACCCGAAATACTAAAATAGAAAGGTGGAACATTTAGATGATTCTGATTAAAGCCTTGGAAGATGAACAAAACGTTACCACAATGCTGGTGATATCCCCGATATCCTGGCTCTCCACCTCGAACTCCTGAACCCTGGCAGGAACAAACTCCTCCTCCCCGTCCGTGTGGTACAGACTCAGTTCCTCAGAGCTCTCCTCACCCGACTTTAGGACTATGTAGGCGTCAGCGTCCGTTCCCATGTCCGACTCTGGTCCTGTCTCTATTGTAACTAAAAATCTGGAAGTGGCATGTGTGTTATAAACAGGCAGTGGATGAAAAAAACAAGCCGTTATAACTATAAGTCTTTCAGTTGTAAAATAAATTTAGTTTTGAAAATAACGAACTTTATATTGGTAGAGTCGGTCTGTGGAGCCTCCTCAGTAATGTTCTCGTTTATAGTTTTGCCATCAACTTCCTTCAAGGTGATTCCCTTCTTCGTTCCTGGAATATAAACAAAAATAGTGAAAAGTTCACATCTTAGTGTGCCTATCAATAGCATAATTTCCTTTTTAGATTCAACGAAGCGTTGATTTTGAATTTGCAAAAAGAGAAAGAAAGAATATTACGAAAAATGCATAGTCCACATTCCATAATTGAACAAATATTACTATACATATACTGTATATAGCAGATGTTTGGATACCTTTTTCAGCTGCTTCAACCTGCTCCATGGTCATGCCCTTAGGGTAGAGGGTCCTCTTAATCTTCTTATCTCCTTTAGACTTGGAGAACCACTGTTCACAAGGGAAACTACTCTCGGTCTGACGATAAAATAGGTTAGCCCTTCATTACACATTATCTTACAAATTGTGATAATTTGACTCATCACAGAAAATATTAAGCTAGATTTATTGTTATTGTTATTACCTTACAAGAGACAGCTGGGTTAGTGTAGTTACAAACTAATAGTTGATTTAAGTTAATTCTTAATTAATTAATTTAAACGTTAATGAATGAATATCTCACATTATTGGTGTCAACGACGGTGACACTCTCCACAAACCAGTCAGCTCCCATGTTAGCATCATCCTCCCTCACCACAATCTTATAAATCTGCCCCAACTCCACACAGTCCACAGTGAAGGTGTCCACCTGGTTCCTCTGGAACTTGTCCATGTTCTCGCTCTTGGACAGTTGTCTCTCTCCGCTGTCTCCAAGGGTGCCGTGTAGACTGATGTAACAGTTCGCGTCCGTTCCAGCTCCGAACTTGTCTCCAGTCAGCACTTTTATTGTGTATGATTCGTCTGGAGTGAGTTTGTTTCAAAGAAATTATACTAGCCCAAGGTAAGAAGGTGGAAAATTTT